CCGATCCTAACGCCCGACTGCAAGACTTAACGTGTAAGAGCGATTATTTTTCATTTAATTTTTCATCCGGCACTCTGAGAACCAACGTATGTGGATAACACATACGAAGTGGAGATGAAGACATAACTCTCAACCTCTATCTTGTACTCAGAACATGATGAATAGGATCACTGGCGCCATCAAGCGCCTCCAACCGAATCTGAGCAACAATAGTCCACCTACAACGATAGTTTAAAAAACAACGTATGATCAGTTACAGTGCTTTAGTAATTACTCGGTTTTTTCCAAAAACTTCTTGAAGGTAGATAATGCCTCATGACGTCCAATCAGTCCGGCAACATCGCCCTAACTCTGCCGAAGACTGATTTATGCTGCATCGGTTGTCACGGAATACTTAATTTCAGCCCAGTTTTTGATTCTCATCGCTTCGCCGCGGTGCGGCAGTAGCGATCTCTGCGTTGCATAATCGCACAATTAAATCATACGTTTCGTATGGGTTCCCGTGGGAAAATGTGCAGGCTCTGGCTAGTTATCAGCCGGCGACTCGTGCGACACTATCCACAGGCCAGCTTTGTCGTTCCAAGGAAAAGCACCGCATGAATATAAGGGCTGTGTTCTGCCGTGCTCAGGAAGAACACCGTATGGGCCTTCAGACGCTGCCAAGTTTCCTCTAATAAAAACCGGAATTACTAGGAATTGTGAATATTATTTTCCAAAATTGTGCCCAATTTAATCTGAAAAATCTGAAAATTTCAAGGAAAAATATGCTAGAATGTTGTCAAAAATCCATGTTTTATCTAGGGATTTTTGGCAACTCTCGAATGTAAATACGGCGTTCTTCCTTAGCACGACAGTGTTCATGGTCGTTCCTTAAACAGCTCCTTTCCTGAGGAGGCCCTTTATGGTTTACATTGCAATGAAGCTCTTGCTTGTATGGGAGATTCGCAATTCAAGCACTTTTTCTTTCGTAAAATTTCGCGAGAAACACGATAGTTCTCTTCGAAACGAACTTCAAAGCTCAAAAAAAGCTTTCAAAGTCGAGGCCGTAATGGAGGGTATATTCCACGCTATTCTAAGAGTCAATCATCATTAGATTTTTTCGCTGCGCCGAACAATTAGAGTTTTCACATCACTGCATATTTTGCCTGACGTCGTCACATTTTTCCTCAAATTTTTTCAGATCGAATGAACGCATTAAAACGAAGATTCTCTGAAATGTTTTTAACTACTCGCAAGCTCGTAGAAAATTAGCGATTTATCGGAAGAAATGTGGCCACGTCCAATTGCTGCGTCATTTTTGCTCCGTGGACGTATTTCTTTCAAACGGAACTATTTGCATTGTGACGTGAGCCCTGTTATACACCTATTCTTATGGGTCTCAGGGCTCATGTCTTAATGCACATAGTTCCGTTTGGAAGAAATACGTCCATATAAGCATAGCAAAGGTTAAGGATTTGGTATATGTGCGATCGGATGCGATGAAACCTCGCTGAACGGATAGGGTGGGGGCGGGGAATTGCGGGGGTGAAAAATCCTTGATTTCGAATTAATTATTCCTGCCGCTGCCGTGCTTCCCGGTAACTTCCGATTCTCTAACTCCGAGTCGGGATGCGTGCGAACTATCTGCGAAGCGTCTTAATTAATCACTTGAAGTGAGCGAGTCCAGGGAAATCACTTACGAGGGACACCTCATGTGCTACCGGGAGCGAGACCTCTTCGTTTAAATGACTTCCTTTGAGTGGCGACAAATTTCTATCTAGATCAATGGACCGCGAGACAAACGCGAACCCTGTGTTTAGATGTTTGAGAACTAAAGCTAACACAATGACGAGTGAAGCAGGAGCAGGTTCTACTCGGCCTTAATCCCTGAAAATTTGAAAAGCCTGGAGCATGGATGTCCCTATCGCCATGTTGTCTAAGGACATTAAATCTCTGTCTATAGTTGGCTGTAGACCTCTAATAAGCTATTAAACTTGCAAAAAAAAAGGGGAAAAAAAGGGATCACAAACACTTTGCCAGTACGACTCACTGGCATCACGGAAAAAAGTGACTGGAGCTATCCCCTAAAATAATTGTGGCACTACTCTTGCTTGTTGGATGATATGGATATTTCCAATTGATTATGGTGGTACCGCAACACAAGTTGGGCTAGTACCACAATTAATTAGAAATGTCCATATCATCCAACAACCCATTCTCTTTGCCGTGATGTGATAAGTAAAGGATGTGGAGAAAAAATGGCATTTGCGTTGATTCGTCAGCGACAGGAGCTTTGAAATTGACCCCTTGTAGAACATCAACGTTATCTCGTGAACACGGACCAAGACAAACACCAAAATTTTCTGAGACTGTGGCTAATTAAAAACCTAAATCGTATTCAGCAGAAATGAACCAGCGTGATTACAGAATTGTTAAAAAGCAGGCATCTTTGCTTTTATCTGAAAAAAAAATGTCTAGATTATCAAATATTTTTTGCTTTCCTCCAGAAAAATGTTTAATGTTGAAGGAGAACGATTGTGTAAATTGACGGAGTGAGTCCGCAATCACATATCTCGTTTGCGTTGTCTGAAAATCTCCGCCTCTTTGTCAAATTTTTACAGGAGAACAAATTGACATCATTCCTTAAAGTTTTTGCAGAATTTTCGTCGCACAGAGAGAAAAATAACGGCAGTTTTAAAGAATTGCCGTTGAGTAGTTTTCCATTTATAGAATAAAGTATGACAGGAAGTCTGCGACGTCGCAAACCGAGTCATGTGATTGCCGACTTACACCGTCGAAATGCCATTTCTGTGCATGTGTTCAGATTTTTCAAAGCAAAGAAGAAGAAGATGCACGATTTTGAAAATACTGTATTTTTACATTGGTTTCCTACTGCTAATCGCGATTCGATTTTAGCTGCGGCGCGGCGGTGCGGCGGTGCGGTGGAACTACCTTGAAAAACTCGTGCAACCGAGCAAAAACCCATCATGAACTCAAAATGACGGCTAAAAAGCCCAGCGTACATACGAGCGTACAGCGAAATCTAGTTAATTTAGAACTTCAGGAAACTTCCTCTCACGTACGGTAAAAAAGTTTAATAAATCTGTATTCATCGAGGCGACTATCCTGGAAAATTTTCCGGATATAAAACCGTGCATTGATTCATACGCCGCAGGGCAGAGGTAAAGGGCCGAGTAGAAATCCAGTTGGTTTAGCGCTTAAGTAGCGTGTCGTTTCCCTGTTTTGTAATGGCGTCGCCACCCTTGTTTTCATTTCCTGGGGGTTGAAAAGTCGATTCTCCGCTCGGGCAACCAATGGGGATGCCCGAGCAGAGCGTGCGCCGTGATTCCCCTCAATGCGACATTTTCTTCCTGCATACATTAGTTCACCCTTCCCCCTCTGACCCGCCGATTCGATATGCTCCTGTCACCTCGCCTCCCCGAAATCCTTACAGGGGTTGGAGGCCCTTTGTGTGCACAACTTGCAGCGCTCACAAAATGAAAGTTATGAAACCTGAACTTTCAGGTTTGTTAGCGGGAGTGCCCGCAGGAAAATCTCTTATTAGAGTCGTGGTTTCTTAAACAATTCCTTTCCATAAAGGACCCCATTTGGTGCGCATTGTCATAGAGAAAAAAGGAGGTGTTTGCATTTCGGGCATCTTGGATTTTTTTGATGACGTAAGTCGGTACGGACGATTTTTTTCATCGATTTCCTTGAAAATGATGTAGTTTAGGGAAAAAAATCATTCTATATATAGTGTTTGAAATTATATCATGAGTTGATTTAAGGAAAAATATCAGACGTTGTGGTCCTTTATTCATACTTCGAATTCTGGCTTTTGCTAAAATATCGCCGCCATGTTGTACCGATCTACGTCACGGAGTAAACAATTCTCAAGATACAAACACCTCCTTTTTTTCTCTATGGCTCATTGTGATCAAGGGATATTTAAGAAAGACCTCTCCAAAGCATCATAGAAAGGACAATTTTTGCCCACCTCCAAAGAAATTCACTGGTATATAACTTTGGGAATTGGTCCTTCCAAGGTATTTCAATGATTTACGACTACAAAAATTACGGAAAACAAAAGAAAACACACTGCGAGTTTTGTAAACTTAAAGGTAGGCTCGCGCCTTCCTCAGAGTTTGTCAAAACCATAGAATTTTTCCATCTGTATTTTGAACTTTTTGGTGTGGCAAATAATTGTTCCCCCTTGCAAGGATCCATTTCCAAAGTTATACCGGTGAATTTTACTCGAAGTAGGTAAATAGTTCTTCTTATGATGCTATTTTGAGGGCTTCTTTAACCTCCCGCATTTACAATGTGAATTAAACAGGACCTCTTAAAGAAAGGATGTGTTTCAGGAACGACCCTCTTAGTGCTATTAACGCAAAATCATGACGGAGACAATTTTTTTTTTTTTTGAGCTTTGAGTAGAATTCAAAGAAAGTTTGGAAAAAGACCCTTTTAAGCAGTTATTTGTCCTGCAAAAAATGTGAAATACTTACCAGGGGAAAAATATTGCCGGCCCTCAAAACTTTGAGGTAAGCCCATGCTTACCTTAAAATTTGTCAAAATCATGGAATCAGATCTAAGAATTCAGACTTCTCAGACACTCAGGACACTTCGTTGAATGTTCCTGTTGACTCAAAATGCGTAAAAACGATATTTTTAATCATGTTTCATTGAGAATCTCCTTAAACTTTCCTTCGTCAAAATTTAAATCATATATGGAACCTGACTAAGGAAAGTTATTAAAGGAACGGCTGTAAACACAGCCTAAATTCCATTCGCATCCGTGCAAAAATGTACTCTGCAAAAAAAAAATCTCAGTTTTTGATATCGTCGGGGGTATTTGAATTTACAATTTTGACCATTGTGAATATTCTATGGGCGATCGGGCAATCCAGTGGTATAAATTATCTGAAGTTTATATTGCATCGTAATATTTCATTTAAATAATTACTTGACTTTTTCATGTTGATTCCCAGCCTTAATCGCCCTTTGAAATTATGTTTCAGGCACTGAACGGGTTCCTGGTTATTCTTACATGCGAAGGCGAGGTCTTCTTCGCAACCCATAGTATTGAAAGTTATCTCGGTTTTCACCAGGTAAGAATCAACAAAATTCAGTTTCAAACCAATTTCAGACCTTAATTGGAGTGCCACATTTTTCCCACACACGAGAGGTTACATTTTACAGATAAAATGATGACATTTTAAAGGTAACCATCAAATCCTCGGGTTTAAACTAGGTCTCTTTTCTCGGTTCGATTTTTAATATCTCTCGGTTCCTGCCCGTAAAACTCTGCTCATGTGGTGAGGAAGCCATATCGCACTTTCTTGAGCAGTAACAGAGATATCTATAAAAAATGCAAATGGATTCGCCTTCATTTGATTAGGTAGGCAAAATGCGCTCCCACGAGCAGGAATAGTGGTATCCGATTATGAAGCATGCGTATTTCTGGTTACCGCTACCGTCTTCGTGGCATTGCTTCCGCCGTGTGAAACTTCCTGGCGAATGGAGCTAGAATGCGAGCCTAACATCTTACAAATATATGTTTTGCAAATAATAGGAAGTTCCATGGAGTAAATTGAATCACTTCGGCCTTAATGTCCCTCTACTGGACTTTACTTTGATTAAAACCTGCAAAATTTGGCTCGAAGCTTTAATTCTCAATTCTCGTAAGCAAAAATCGCGTTAGTTCTAGTTCGGGAAAAAAATATCTCAGCTTTTATTTCCCAACTGTCGAAATTATTTTCAAAAAGTCGCAAGGTGTTCATGAGCACCCTATCGATACTGTACAAGAATTTATATTACCTTTTTATCGTCAATTACACGGAACGGAGACTGTTATTTAGCTCTGCCGACAAATCGGGATCTCTTAGAGACGTTTGTTTTCATAGATTAGTGGGTTAGGCCCCCTGCGGGGCAATTATTGAAATTGATGAACAAAGCGATAGACAAAGAAGACATAGGGAGTATAGAGCGATCCTATTGGTTAACATGGTTGGTTCCTATAGACTAAGGAAGAAACTGATGGACTAACTGTCGGGTCTTTGGTGGGTTGCCGTTAGTCAGTCCATTACCTTCCTCTTATGTCCATTGCCACCTCCCGCTTCCACCAATAGGATCCCTCCAAATCCCTTTTGTCGTCTTTTTCTATAGCTTTGTCTATCAGTTTCAATAATCGGCCTGCAGACCGCTTCGCCTTCCAACCTGCCAAAGCGCTTACAGACACAAGCAGCGACGTGGTGTTCTTTTCGATGTATCGCTTGATCCGTCGTTTAAACCTATGGAAAAGGATCGAGAATCCGGGTGTTCGCAACAAACACTTCGATAATCGATTCTTTACCATAGCTTCAAATGGGGAAATATCGACAATCGATCATTCACGCCTCGCCACTCGATATCTGACTTCCCGATTGTAGGTTGTAGGAGGCATTTCGATTGGAGCCACCATTTTAGAGACTCGTGACGCACAGAGGGTACAAGCTTTAATGTACCAGCGGCTCGATTGTTGAATCGATATCGAATGGCCTTGATCGATAAAAAGCATTGCCGAGATAGGGATTTATCGATCGAGTTCATCCGATAACGATTCAACAATCGACCTGCTGGATTGTGCTCGATGTAACGTCATGACGTCAAGAAGGTACGAGACGCAACCACCTGTGACCTGTATGTTTCCTCCTTTGCTGCCCGCGGGAAAAAAATCCGTCTGCGGCACAGCTGTGGGCTCTGCTTGTCATTACGTTCTGACGTCATTGCTTTTTATGCCAGAATCACTTTCAGTTCCAAATACAATGATTATATCTACCTTTCCCGCTCTCAATAATTAATGTCTCATAAGCGTTGTTATCCCTCCTTGATTCCGGAAATCGTCAGGGAAGCGTTTTTCTCAATTTTTTTGTTTATAATTAGCTGGCGTAAACATCTCGTGCAGTTATACGCACGAATCAATAATAATATTCAGGAATACGAGTACACATCAATCTAGTAAACCTTGCCTTGCAAAGTTTGCACCCTGCTATTCGTCAGTCATCATTTCTTTCATGAAAAAAACATATTTCTTTCTTAATTCAACTTAATCTTTCTTTCTTGACATGTATATCGATGGCCAATGTGCGAAACTACGTATCATTGTTTGCGAAGTCGCAGACATCTTTTCATACTCTAATTTTTCATTGAGAAACTAGTTAAGATAATTCCTTGACGACCTCATTGATTTTTCCTTTCTCTTAGCAGAATATTTCGTAGTGACTGTAAGTTGAGTAATTGACCTGTTCCTGTTCGAGCAAATAAATAGGGAGCAGAGATTTTGAAACACCGCAATGGAGATGCGTGGTTTCGCACTTAAGCCATCATTCTGCAGCTTGTCAGTTTTATGGGCGAGTTGCGCTGGTAACAGAATCGTGTTTTGATGCTTGATTCTTATAGAATAGCTAAAAATATTAAGATCTGTCCAAACCGCAACTTTCTACGTTCAATTTTAACCGAGGTATCGTCCTTTGAAAAGTTGGGTATTTGACGTCATCCACCGCGGCAGCGACACCCTTGGTTTCTTCCGCCTTGCTTTTATCCGAGTTTCATATAGAGTAACCGGTGCAAATACGTGTATGTGTTTCCCTAACTGATAAAACCAAGGTGGAAGAAACCAAGGGGACTACCGCGGCGGATGACGTTAAAAACCCGACTTTTCAAAGGGCAATATTTCGGTTAATACTGAACGAAAAAAGTCCCGGTTTGAACAGATCTTATTTTATTATTTTAGCTTATCTACAAGAATTGAGTGTCAGAGCACGATTCTGTGACCAGCGCAACTGGTCCATTCCGAGGCATCCGGTATTGTCTCTGTCTCAGAAGTATAAGAGGCGATGCCAACAGGCGTGAGAATTACAGTTGCGGAATTAGAGTCCCTTTATACTGAGAGTCAAGACAACACCCCCTCATGGAGTCACAAACGGGAATAAAGATTACACAAATTGAACTTTTTTCGTAATCTTTGATCGGCCATTTCTCAAATTCCTTTCTTCGTTCCTTCTCTCACTCCGTTTGTTCCTTGTCGAACCCGTGATTCCTCGGTCCATTCCAGATTATAATCTTTGCAATTGGTGAAAATGTAACCTTTATTCCTGTTTGTGACACTGTGGAGGCCTTAAATACGATAACCAATCAGAAATGGATTCACACTGTCTTGACTCTCAGTATATAGGGACTCTAATGCCAACAGGCGTGAGAATTACAGTTGCAGAACTACATGCGAACCGGGAGTCCGCATGCGAGGGCGCTAACTGCAATGCAGCATGAGCGAAGACGCAGCTCGGAGGGTTGCCTACGTAGCGCGGGGCTGCGTGTTCCCGGGTCTTGAGCCCGGTGTCAATAACCGGGTTAGTTCGTGTCCTCACCTCTTCCCGATCCCCGATCCGGCTCTTGTTTCCGCAGACCTCCGAGGGTGTCATGAAACAATCGCCGCAATGTCAAGGTCGCCCCGGAGATGATTCCGTCGGCTCCCGCTATGTCATGTCTTGCACCATTTAACCGTTCACACTGTCCAGGTGGACACGAAAACTCCGCATCACGCTAGCTCGCGATTGGCCACCGCCGTCACGTCACGCTTGCACCCCCGCCCCTCGCCCCGCCGCCGCCGCCGCCGCCCACGCACCGATTCGTCTCAATGAACTCCGCCGTGCGTGCCGACCCCCGAGATTTTCGAACGTGTCGCGCCGGTGGAGTAACGGAATTAGCCTCCTGACCCAATGAGCTGGATCGGGAAATCGCGATGAGTGATTCGGCACATGAACCTTCCTTCATCGTCCGATCGGCCATCACGAGGCCGGCCGTCGCCGGGGTAAATTGTCTCTCACGCAAAGGAGCCGCTCATTTATTACGTAACGCTCCAAGGGAACGGGGGGGGGGTCGAGGAAAGCGTTACGCCATTTTTTTTGTTGTTGTTGAAAGGGTACGTCACAGAAGCGTTACAAGAGGGGGAGAAAATGCCGAAATTTGCATTACGAACGCTTCCAAACATAAGATTTTGCGTCTCTTCCCTAGACTAATGAATGGAAGGGGGTGGGTTAGTATAGAGCATGGAGGAAAAAAGGAGTTGGTCGCATTTCGGGAATATTGGATTTCATCGACGACGCAGGTCGGTACAGACGGTTTTTATCATAGATTTTCTTGGAAATGGTGTCGTCTAAGGAAAAAAGTCATTCTATGAAGAGCGTTTGAAATTATACTTTGAGTTGATTTGAGCACACAAAAAATGGACGTGATGGTCAGTTTTTCATACTTTCCGGATTTTGTTGGAATATCGACACCCTACTGTCCCAGCCTACGTCGCGTCGCGGGGTAATCAATCCTCAAGATGCGACCACCTCTTTTTTTCTCTCCATGAGTGGAGAGTACCTTCACAGAGAGAGTATAGACGTGTCGTCATATCGCCACTTAACTTGCGCGCATGGAGGCTGTAAGACCCAAAAATGGTGGCTCTTTGTTTTGGTTTTTGAAGAACCTAGAATTTTTGGAAAAAGGAAAGAGAGAAGGAATAAAATTAACGGGAAAGGTTTAGATTTCGTTGTATTTCTTCTCCCTCTCATATTTCTAAACCATAATTTCAGTTTTACGTCAAGTTGTGCTAGGTAGATCTGCCACCTTCAAGATCTTTAACCCCTTCCTCCATTCCAATCTACTCCACCTCGACGTATACCTACCCCAGAAAAAATCCCCTACCGACCTCATCACTGCGGTCTAGAAGCTTGACAGAACGGTCTCTCAACATTTAATTAAACGCTGTCACCATTTCACGCACAGTTTTTTGGTCGAATTTCAGACTTTGCGTGTGCTCCAAAATGCAAACATCATAAGTACGGAAAAAAGGGGGAAAAGGAAGGAAACTGAACGAGGAGCTGCGTAACGGCTTTAATTAAAATCGTGAAACCGCACGTTTGCCAAGTTTCGGTTACGATTGCCGGCGGCATAATAATTACTCATGTAGGCTTTGAATATTTGCTGCATTAACGTGAAACATTTTTTATGCTTTTCCCTCAACGCTTGAGGCTTCTGATTGGATCCTCTTCTGGTGAGTAATATTTCGAAACGTTTTACCGAG